CACTCTGTCTCCCAGACTGGAGTGCAGTGGCTGCTCCCGGCCACCGCAGCCTCGACCTGCTGGGCTCCGGCGATCCTTCTGCTACAGCCTTCCAAGTAGCCGGAATTACAGACATGTGCTACCACGCCTGGCTGATTTTTTGATTTATTGTAGAGATGAGGTCTCGCTGCCCAGGCGGGTCTCAAACCCACGGGCTCAGGCAATCCACTCACCTCAGCCTCCCAAAGCTGGGATTACAGGCTGAGCCACCGAGCCCAGCTGCCTCCTGACATTTTATATAGCCTTCCTCTAAATCCCACCAGTGTAGTACAGGCTTTGTTTCTTGAAACCTTTGTGTTCTCCAAGATGGCCCCTGGGTCATTATCACCATACAGGTTGCTGGCTAAGCTGTTGTTCAGACTGATGGAAAGGTGACTCTCTTCCAGGTAAGATCTAAGCTTTCTCTGTTGCCAGGTTCCAGATGGCTTCACAGCTGTGATGAGTGCTAACACCTGGGAGAAGAGAGGTCCAAATAAATTCTTCTTCCAGATGTCTCAGCCCATCCCCTCCTATCTGATAGCTTTGGCCATCGGAGATCTGGTGTCAGCTGAAGTTGGACCCAGGTAGGAGACAAAGACCCCACAGGCAACACTATATTGGCCTCGGGGGCAGCGAGGACTCTGACCAGTGAATCTGCTGGGGTGGCTGCTGGGCAGTCTGTGACCCTCTGCCAAGTCTGGAGCCCTTCTGCGGCTAAGAAACATGCAGCGTGAGGACAGCTGTGGGATGTGCTCTTTCTCTCCCCTCCTCTCTCACTCCTCCCTCCAGCTGTAATCCTGTGTATGGAATGCACTCATCAATCCTGCTAGTGGTACCTGCTGTCCTGGGCTGCCTGGCAGAGTGATGTGGGAGCTTAGGTAGCCATTGGGAAGACTGATCTTTATTAGTATCTTTAAGCACTTCATGCCATTCTAGCAACTATTTTCACCTTTTAATCTTCGTACCAAATCTCCCCATTTTCTCCAGCACTCAATTCCTGGAAATATACAAACTTCGATGTTGTTATTTCCCTCTAGAAAGGGAAGTAGACTCTGTCTGCTGCAGGCGTTTGAACCTAAACCTATGGTGACAACAATACCGTCATGAAGTTAGATGAATTTAACAGAGATAAAAGGGATTTTGTGGCTGGACGTGGGAAGGGCTTGCTTGTACTCCCCACACTTTAGTAGACCTAGACGAGAGGATTGCTTGAGCCCAGGAGTTCGAGCCCAGCCTGGGCAACACAGCGATACTCTGCCTCTTACCTAAGAAAAATAAACAAACAAAAATGAAAGAAATTTTCAGGGTTTCCTGAGAAAATAATTTTGACCAGGTGTATAGGTTTTTCCTGGCTATCATATTAACTGCCACTATAGCTTAATCCCCATGGGAGAGGATCAAAGGTTGAACAGTAAAGCTCTGACTCTTATCTTGGCTCTGCTGCTGTTCTTATCTCCAGCCCTGCTCTCAGTTCCTGGAGGCCGTGGTGTTCTTGGCAAGATTAGTTACAGGCCTCAGACTTCATAACTGGGCTCAGCAGCACTGCTAGTATTCTGCATCTTCATTCCTGGGTATCAGATGGAATGGTAGATGGGGTCCCACTGGCACCTGCTTCCAGCACACACTCAGAACAGTGCCAGTTTTGAGAGACAAGCGTCTTCTTGTCATGAAGGACTGTCTTCATTCTAGGCAGGACAGTAAGTAATCAAAAGGATGTCATCTTTGCAATAGATAAGAAAATAGAGGCTGGGCTTGGTGGCTCAGACTGTAATCCCAGCACTTTGGGAGGCTGAGGTGAGTGGATTGCCTGAGCCCGTGGGTTCGAGACCCGCCCGGGCAACTTGGCGAGACCTCATCTCTACAATAAATCAAAAATTAGCCAGGTATGGTAGCGCGCGCCTGTAGTTCCAGCTACTCGGAAGGCTGAGGTGGAGGATCGCCAGAGCCCAGCAGGTCGAGGCTGCGGTGGCCGGGAGCGGCCACTGAACTCCAGTCTGGGTGACAGAGTGAGACTCCAACTCAAAAAAAAAAAAAAAGAAAGAAAGAAAATAGATAAGCTCACACCTGTAATTCCATCACTTTGGGAGGCGGGGGTGATAGGATTGCCTGAGCCCAAGGGTTCGAGACCAGCTTGGGCAACTTGGTGAGACTTCATCTCTACAATAAATTATAAAAAAAAATAAACCAGGCATGGTGGCTCACGTCTGTAGTTCTAGCTACTTTGGAAGGCTAAAGTGGAAGGATTGCCTGAACCCAGCAGATCAGGGCTGCGGTGGCCATGAGTGTGCCGCTGCACTCCAGCCTGGGTGACAAAGTGAGACTCTGACTCAAAAAAAAAAAGAAAGAAAGAAAATAGATAAGTAAGGGAATGTTGTTTCAGAGACTCTACCCTTCCTAAGGTTCTATCAGTAGGAGTATAAACTGGCCAGGTGCAGTGGCTCACACCTGTAATCCCAGCACTTTGGGAGGTGGAGGTGGGAGGATTGCCTAAACCCAGGGGTTCAAGACCAGCCTGGGCAATTTAGCAAGACCTTGTCTCTACAATAAATAAATAAAAAAAAGAAAAGAAAAAAAGAAACCCTGGGCATGGTGGTGCATGCCTGTAGCTCCAACTATTTGGAAGACTGAGGTGGAAGGATCACCTGAGCCTAGTGGGTTGAGGCTGCAGTGGCCATGAGCGTGACGCTACGCTCCAGCCTGGGCGACAGAGTGAGACTTCAACTCAAAAAAATAGAGCATAAACTATTAATGGGAAATGGGAGGAAAACAGATTCTAAACATATTAGATAATGGTTTTATTGAACCCTCTGTAATAAAATGACAGCATGATGTATCAAACTAAGGGACAGGACGCATTTAACTGGCAGTGATAACTTATTACTTCTCCTATCAGACAGACAGTCCTTGTTGGGTCAAATCTTAGGGTCTTGTGAGAATTTTTTTAAAAATGTTTTTATTGTATTTTATTTTATTTTTTTGAGTTGGAGTCTCACTCCATCACCCAGGCTAGAGTGCAGTGTTCACGGCCACCCCAGCATCGACCTGCTGGGCTCTGATGATTATTCCACTTCAGCCTTCCAAGTAAGTGGAACTATAGGCACGTGCTACCACACCTGGCTAATTTTTAAAATTTATTTATTGTAGAGATGAGGTCTTGCCAAGTTGCCCGGGCTGGTCTCGAACTCGCGGGCTCAGGCAATCCACTCGCCTCGACCTCCCAAAGCGCGGGATTACAGGCTGAGCCACTGAGCCTGGTCACCCACTCTTGAGAATGATTTTGTCTCCATTGTGTAGATAGGCAAACCGAGGCTCTGGTGAATGGCTTGTGGAGAACCACGTAGTTGGCATGACTAGAACCAAAATCCAGGTATTTCTATGGCGAGTCCCATGCTCTTTGCACTATGCTACTGGTGACGAGATTCCAGCTGGGCTGAGAGCATTTCACATTATTTATGTAATTATTTAGGTTGGAGTCCACTCTTGCTCAGGCTGGAGTGCAGTGGCATAATCACGGCTCACCATAGCCTTGACTTCTAGGCTCAGGCAATCCTCCTGCCTCAACCTCCTGAGTAGCTGGGACTATAAGTGTGTGACTCCATGCTGGGCTAATTTCTTAATTTTTTTTTTCCAAGGTGCTGGGATTACAGGCATGAGCCACTGCACCTGGCCCCTAAATTATTTTGCCAGAAATATGTATAGTGGTGGAAATATCTTGGATGACCTCTGGCTAGCCTGTCTTAAACCTTCTGGTTGGAGCAAGCTGAAGTCCACTGGGCTGAAGGACTTTGCTAATCATGATATCCAACTGGTGGTAGAGCAGTTCACAAAGTAATCCCTTGAAGACTTTGACTCCTGTGCCATGGTCTTTTTCTCAGCCTGATGCCCTGTTAGTCATTTTTGGTGACTTTTCTATCCATGTGGATGTTCCTTCCAGTACCCAGGGTTGACAGTAGCTACAGCATTTCTTGACCTCTGCTATTCTGGGAGCCTCTTCTCCTCCATCAGCCTCCACATTCAGCGTGTCTAGGGCCCAGACATGGTCATTATCGTGACTATGACCGTACTATGTCAGAACGTGTAAACATTCTGTCCCCATTCATCCTCTGACTCTCCCCTCCTAACCTTCCAGGCTTCTGACAGCCTCACTCCCATCATATCCCACCACGTATCCTTGAGCTCATGGTGGCCTCTCTTTCTTCAGGCTGGTCAGTTCTTTTTGGGCAGTCATGGCCTCTCTCCATGGTCCAGTCTGTGGTTGCTCGTGTCTTACCAGCAGTACTCCAAGCCCCCTTGTTCACTGCCCTGCTGCTGTAACATCTCAGCCCTCAGTCAAACAATTCCTTTTCTCTATTTCTATGGATGGGTGTTTGGGAGATGCAGAAAATAATGAAACTGTACACTACACATTTCTAGTTTCTTGGTGAAAAGTTGGAGTTAAAGGAAAGTTGATATAGACATTTGTGTGGTTTTCAAGAAAAACATAAGAAATATGCAGTCTTCGACTGCAGGTGTGCTTTCAGAATTGCTCAACAGTGCTTTTATTTATCTTTCCATCTCACTTCCCTTAAGCTGTTCTAAGACTTTATTATTCTCTTCAAGTTTGTTATCCAAACCGCACACCCTCACTCAAGCAGATGATCTTGTCTCCTGCTTTACAGAGAATTTCAGTTCGTCAGCTGTGATTATGTCAACTTCCCACTTGGACAGTCATCTTCCTCTGCTTTCATCCTTCTGACTCTGAGGCGGGATCCTTCCTTCTGCTTAAAGTCAAATCTCTCCTTCTGAGCTGCTGATTCGGTCCCTCCTTGTGTCCTCTGGGCTTTGCTTCATCATTTACCCCTCTCTCTTCGAACCTGCGGCCTCTCCTCTCAATTCAGCCTCCAGACATGCTCCAGTTTCTCTCAGATCTAAAACAAAGCAAAAAGCAAATTCAAAACCAAAAATCCTTCAACCCCATATTGGCATCTAGTACACCACCCTCTCCTTCCCTTTGTAGCCCGGTTACTTGAGTAGCAGATATACACACTGGCACCACTTCTGTTGCACCTTCCCCCCCATTCGTTGCTTAGACCCATGGGAATCCAGCTCCCTATCCCCATCATGCTGTTGAAACTCTGGAGTAAGAGAGGCCTTTTGCCTCAATATGGGCAACACGCTGGATGCTTTTTAGTCCTTGTCTTGTGTCCTGCTCTTTTTCTGGATCCATGACACAACCCTGACCTGGTTCTAGGGCCTCCTGGTTAGTCTTTTCTGGTCTCCTTTCTGAACTCTTCTCTACCCAGCCCTTCTGTTTTCATGATCTCCAGGGTTCTGTCCTTGGCTCGTTCTTCTCTCCTATGTGCTTTTCTTTTCTTTTTTTTTTTTT